TAGGTCATTGGATAGAGCTCTCTTGAAAGGGATGAGTACTCTTCTAAGAGGAGCCCCAGCAAGCTCCTTCGCCCCTTCTGCCAAGTGAGGACACAGTTCATGGAGAGACACAAGGACACAGGTTATCTATGAACCAGGAAGCAGACCTCACCAGACACACTGAATCTGCCAGCAACTTGATCTTAGATTTCCCAGCCTCCAAAACTGTGAGGAGTAATTTTCCATTGTTAATAATCCAGCCAGACTGTGGAATATGTCATAGCAGCTCGAGCAGACTAAGACAGCAGTGGTAAGAGCTGAGACTGAAGAGACTGTCCTAGCTGCCTTAGCCAGCCACGTGGAGCAGACGGTCTCCCTAGCTCTCCCCAGTACCTACACTGTTTGCACACACGATGGTGAACATTGTTATGTCTGCCTCCCCAGCATCCTAACCTCTGATGAACTTCCCTGCCCCCTCTCAGTTTATATAGCACATATAGGACTGACCCCCCCACCCCCCCTTCTAAGAATCAACACAAAATTCATACCTGGACAGTAAGAGTCTCACAGCTCCCTGACCACAGTGATTAATTCAGCAGTTAGCCCATGCCCAGGGACATGTCCAAGAAGCATCCTCTCTGAACTTACACTTGGACTACTGAGAAAGAAGTGTGTTTCTCCTTGAGTTGATTGAAATAATAGAATATCAACCTGGAGCTTCAGGCAGCCGTCTGTCCACAATTCATTCATTCAGTAGCAGTTATTGAATAACAATTATGTGCCATGCTGTTGTAGGCATTAGGGATACAGAAATAAGACATAATTCTGTTTCTTAGATTTTCACCACATACTGGAAAGGCAAATAAAGTGAATGAATCACTTTAATAAAATGTGATAATTGTTACAAAAATTAATAGGTCATCTGGGAAGGATAGCTAACTCAGGCAAGGCTTCCTGAGGTAGAAACGCTCACTGAACCTTGCTGGATAATTAGCACTAACCAGGGTGAATTGGGGCATGGTTATGATTCCAGAAGAGGAATCGGTAAGTACAAAGGCATGGAGGGGATGTTCAGTTGGGCAGGCTCTGGTGACCCACCATATTCAATCAGACTAGAGGCTAATGCACATTCAGGGGAATGGGAGAAAGGAGTCCGTATGGCCAAGCTGGGAATGAATCACGAAGATCTGGAATTTTTGCTAAATACTATGAAGAGCATTTTAAAAAATCGCACAAGGCACCATGTAGAGAATGGTTTGGGGAGTGCCAGACTGAAGGCAGAGTGAGCCTTAAAATGCAGTTGCCAACATCTTCCTTGTTAAAGTCAATGCAAGCCAAACTAAAGCTCTGGAGGAAAGACAAATGTGAGCAGGGGGTGGGCATCAGATCCAAGACAGAACAAAGAAGCAGAATAAATGAGATTTAGAGGGTAATTGAATTTACACAGCTCTGGCCTGGTCATGTCCCTGATCAAGACTGAACTGTCTTTTACTGGAAGAAGCAGGTTTTGTGTGGAAAGGAAAGTTCAGGTGGCCATGGTAAGTTGAGTTGCCTGCAGGACAATGTACCAGAGTTGTCTCAGGCAGTGAATGAGTCAGGAGCTCCTGAGAGAAGTCTGCACGAACTCACATTTGTGGTGGGTGGGATTTATTTGTTTATACGTTTCTTCTTTCCTGAAGATTTGTATGTGCTTTGATTTCAGTGTTATCAGCACACAACTCATCATTAAAATCATGGATGTGGATGAGATTGTCAAGGAAGAGCACAGACTTCAAAATAAATTTAAAAAATAGCTTAAGGTAAAAGACAGAGAAAGACAAGTCCATGTGGACTGTGAAGGCGTGAGTTAGAACAGCATCAAGAAAGTCAAGGAAGGAGGAATTTAAGGAACAGGGAGGTGAACATAGGGGAAGGAAAAGAAAAATAAAATAAGATAAAAACAGAGATGGAGGGATGCCTGGGTGGCTCAGTCATTGGATGCCTGCCTTCAGCTCAGGTCATGATCCCAGGGTCCTAGGATAGAGCCCCGCATCAGGCTCCCTGCTCCACGGGGAGCCTGCTTCTCCCTCTCCTACTCCCCCTGCTTGAGTTCCCTCTCTCACTGTGTCTCTGGCAAATAAATAAATAAAACCTTAAAAAAAAAACAAAAACAGAGGGAGGCAAACCATAAGAGACTCTTAACTAAAGAGAACAAACTGAGGGTTGCTGGAGGGGAGGTGGGTGAAGGGATGAGTTAAATGGGTGATGAGCATTAAGGGCATGTGTTGTGATGAGCACTGGGTGTTATATGTAAGTGATGAATCACTAAATTCTACTCCTGAAACCAATACTACACTATATGTTAACTAACTTGAATTTAAATAAAATCTTGGAAGAAGAAAAAAAAAAAAGAAAGTCAAGGAAGGAGAGTGTGTCAAGAAAGAGGAAGAGGTAAAGAGAAAAAATATAGGGCGCCTGGGTGGCTCAGTTGGTTAAGCGACTGCCTTCGGCTCAGGTCATGATCCTGGAGTCCCGGGATCGAGTCCCGCATCAGACTCCCTGCTCAGCGGGGAGTCTGCTTCTCCCTCTGACCCTCCCCACTTTCATGCTCTCTCTATCTCATTCTCTCTCTCAAATAAATAAATAAAATCTTTAAAAAAAAAAAAAGAAAAAATATAGTAAGAGATCAAGTTATATAAGAACTTGAAAGTATCCCCTGGATTCCATAGGGTTGGTGGAATGATCTGAAAAGGGATAGGACAGTAAGGAGAAACTATGAGGGGTTTTCATCGGCTTACTGGTTGGTTGGTTGGTTGGTTGTTTGGTATAAAACGGGAGACACTATGGTGGAAAGCCAATTAGAGAAGAGATGGGTTAGTAAAGGTAATGACTGATGGATGTGGTCCCCCCAGGAGGCCAGTGGGTATGGAGTTCATAGCCCAAGAGAAGGGATTACTCAGGGGTCAGGAAGTACATTTATGCCATTGAGAAGGTAAAGGGCAGCGAGGGATGTATGAATGCCCGTGTGGATAATTTGGTGACCTAGGCTAAGCAAGGCTGATGGGGAAAGAAAATATGCATGCTAATTATATTAAAGGAATTGATTTTATCTATCATTCTATTAAAACACGTCAACGAAACTCCCACAATTTTCAAAGCCAAAAACGACTGAGCTGATGGTGATAAGTTTCTGGACGCTGAGGATGCACTGCTCAGTCACCAAGATGGGTATTTTTATTTTTTTCTTTCTTCTTCTTTTTTTTATGGTATTTTCTATTCTATCTGAAACCACAGCCTGGCTTATTTTTTACTCAGTTTAATTTCTTTCAGGCTGTAGCCTGTGAATCACACCTATTTCAAGCAATTTTCATTTCCTTAGTGTCAGACTTTTGTGTCTTTTCCCCTCAAAAATCAGCAGCAGTTGGAAAAGTACTTGTTCCAATCAATAACCATTTGAAAATAGAAACTCAGATATTTAAGATGAGTCTGTATGCAATTGCTACCTTTAAGACTTCTTTCTTTGAAGCAAACTTTCCTCCTACCAAAGATATTGTCCTTCAAGTTTCTGTTACAGAAAATCATGATCTGGGGGCGCCTGGGTGGCTCAGTCGTTAAGCGTCTGCCTTCGGCTCAGGTCATGATCCCAGGGTCCTGGGATCGAGCCCCACATCGGGCTCCCTGCTCCGCGGGGAGCCTGCTTCTCCCTCTGCCACTCCCCCTGCTTGTGTTCCCTCTCTCGCTGTGTCTCTCTCTTCAAATAAATAAATAAAATATTAAAAAAAAAAAAAAAAGAAAATCATGATCTGATGAAGACTGGTTGGTGATACATGAGGTAGGTTTCATAAAGAAAGCCTCCCCCGCTTCCCCCCGCCGCCGCCACCGCCAAACTGCCCCCTTCCCAAATTGGATGTGGCGCAAATTCAAGGCTGTGTGAAAATCTGTTCAGCAAGGGAAAAACTCACACTAGGTGAGGAATCAATTACTGAAGAGGCCATCCTCCCCAACCCATTCATTTTACAGCAATAAACCGAAGCCCAGAGTGCTGTCTGGTTCATTGGGATCAAGGCCAGGACCCGATTCCAGGTCTCCTGACTCTCCACCCACTGCTCATTTGTCCTGTCATAACATCTGTTTCTCCTGCTGGACAGCAAACCCCACGGGCCCAGAAACCTCTTCCATATTGTTCACTTAGATATCCCCAGCATAGAGGCAACAAGCAAAAATATCTGTTAGTCAGTTAACCACACTCAGAGCAGTCTGCTACTGGTCATTATGAGGTTTCATGCAGAGCCAAACATCAGAGTAAAAGGTCTCAACAGAAAGAAAGAGAAATCACCATCCCATAAACACATGGTTTGTGAACTCGGAAAACACCAGAGACTCTGGACATGCCTTCCAGGGTGGAAGGTGATACATGAGGTAGGTTTCATAAAGGAAGCGCGCCGCCCCCCCCCCCCCGCCCCTGCAGGGGCCCTAGAGCCACTGCTTGCTAAAGGATCCACATCAGGGTTTCATTTGTCATTGAGTTGGCAGACACCACACCCCAAGCCAGAGCCCGAGAACGCAGAACTTTCCACGTTCAGCTTTCCACGTTCCAAGTCAGCTTTCACCAACTTGAATCCTCCTTAAAATATTTAACAGGCTCTCTCCTCTCCCCCCGACACTGTAACTGCGGAGGCTCCTTTCATCGTCCCATAATCGAACCTGCCTAAAATTTTTATGGAAGTTGAAATCCCATGTTCTTTTCACACATTAGCAACGCATGCCATCCCACGGGGGACAGCCCCTGCAGAGGCACGCAGGCCCTTTAAGGGGTTGGAAAGGGACATTAGCCGCAGCTGAAGTTTGCTTTGTAAAACAAGACCCTGGGAGGTTCTTCATTTGGCTGCAGACCTTGTGCCAGCTTGATGCCTTTCTACTCTGGTTAAGACCAAATGCTTCTCAAATGAATCTGTTAGAAGAGTCTCTGCTGGGAATTGGATTCCCTCTCAGCATTCCTCAGTTTGAGTTTGGTTTGGTTAGTGGCGAAAGTAAGTACTTACATCTCTTGCCCCTAAATCAGGAGTTGCTGTTGCTGCTATAGCCCATCCTGACAGCCTGCTGTTTCTCACAGCTGGTAGACCCTGGAAACTGGGATGCCACGTCAGCCGCCCAGAACCTTTCTGCTTGAGCAGCAGTTTCCCAACGGCACGATTCTCTGTGTGGACCCTGAGGCTGGAAACATGATCTGACCGCCATATTGAGAAGGTCTTAGTAAAAGAGGCCACTACCCGAGATGAGAGAAAGAAACCACACATACCCCTTCCTGGTCTAAATATCGGGTCGACTTTCTAAACAATCATGACAGCAAGTTAACAACTGAGCAAAAAAGGCAGGATTGGAAAATGAAAGAGTAAAATTTAGAGACGTTGATTCAGTATTACAGATTTTAGTTCATTAAAAAATCACGAGCTTGGAGGGCGCCTGGGTGGCTCAGTCAGTTGAGCATCTGCCTTCAGCTCAGGTTATGATCTCACGGTCCTGGGATTGAGCCCCGTGTCGGGCTCCCTGCTCAGGGGGGAGTCTGCGTGTCCCTCTCCCTCTCTCTCTCAAATAAATAAATAAAATCTTTTTTAAAAATAAATAATTAAAAATCATGAGGTTGGAGTGAAATGAATTTCCTTTCAAAAAAGTGAATTTCATTTCAAAAAAATAAGAAAGTGAATGCTCATGAATAGGGAAATGGTTGAATAGATTATGCGACATTTATGTCATGGAATATTAGGATTTCTAGTAAATAGTAAATTAGAGTTGTAGCAGTTCACTTGGAGGGGTTTCTATGGCATATTAACCAAGCAAAAAAAAGTATGTAATATTATCCCATTTGGGGTTGTTATGAAATCTTTTGAGCGAAAAGGAATATATTATCCTATATGTTATTATATATGTATATATAATTATATGAGTATTTCTGTATCTACATAGACAAAAGAATATAAAAGGTACATCCTGGGCAGTTAAAATACTTCCTTTGTTTGAGGGAGAGAATGTGCAAGGGCAGTGGGTAAGGGCATAAGTAACTTTTTTAAAGGCTTCACAATAAGCAGCATTTATTACATCACTCCTGTAAAATTGTATGTATGTGAATGACGTGTGTGCTTAAAGAGAAGTACATGTTAAGTTCACAAAAGTGTTAATTAGATGTCTTCAGGTGTTGGAATGCCATCTGACTTTGATTTTATTCTCTATCATTTTATATATGCTTCAATTTTTTAAAGATTTTATTTATTTGAGAGAGAGAGCGAGAACAAGCAGGGGGAGCGGCAGGCAGAGGGAGAAGCAGGCCACCCCCCGCCCCAGCAGGGAACCTGATGCGGGACTCGATCCCAGGACTCGGGGATCATGACCTGAGCCGAAGGCAGATGCTTCGACTGAGCCACCTAGGCACCCAATACTTTGATTTTTTTCAAGGAAAAACTTTTATTTATATCATCAGAAGAAACAATAAAGCTATTTTTATTGTGTAAAAATTATGACAAGTGGTATCTTGCCTGAACTATTATGGGGCTGAACTATTCAGCCCCTCTGCTGAATCTTAAATAGACCTGGGTTTGTTTTTTTTTTCTCTGTGTGTCCCCAAAACACTCAAGAATTCTAAAGATGTTCTCGTGCTTCTCTGGAGAAGAGAAGCCATGCCAAAGAGAAATATAAAATACTTTTTAGCCCAGACCTCACACAGTTCTCCTCTCCCTGAGGGTGATGTCAGAGGTGGGTCCCTTCTTCCCCCTTCCATGATGTGGGTGCAGAGGGTAGTTTCCACAGTGCACACATGCACAGCGATGTTACCGAATGCTGTAATCCATACTGTCCCAGATGATGCCTGTAGTGATGGCCAGAATCATTTATGAACATGCCAATTATTGAGAAAAAGAAAGAAGCTGGAATTGACCAACCAATCCCTACATTTCAGTAACAAAGCCAGAGATTGGGAAATGAGCACTTATTGATCAGTGACCAAGTGACCAATACATTTTACATAATTAAAACATGGAAAAGGTCACTAGGTAGTCACTGGCCCCATTTTCTGGATTAAAATAAAGCAAGACACATGAATATACTTAGACATTAAATTATCTTTATTGTGTAAACAACAACACAGAGTTTTTCTTAACTGGGGCAATCATAGAAAATTCAGGATGTCCCCTCTCCATAAGGGCTGTGTAGCAAGTAGATATGTGTATGAATCAGAAGGCATATCTTGTTGGTGTTTATTCATTATCCTGGAAATGGGGAAGCTCCTGATTTTAAACTTAAATGAGGAAAATGACTGATTTAGATAAAATCTCTGAATTATAGAACTGTCTTAAAAACAACTTTTTAAAAAGAAATGTTCTTTCACTTTCAACTACAAAAATAACCCACAGTAGAGTCAAATTTTTTTAATCCTAAAAGGATTTTTATTTCCACCCATCATTTTGGATAGAAATGGAGATTCAGAGAGCTTAAATAACTTGTCCAAGGTCACACAAGGAGAACTTAGGGCTCTGGTTCTCAGACATTATCCCACAACATTGTGCTGTAAATATTAAGGATAGATCCTGCCTAACGTGACTTGTCATAACTAGAGAAGACACTCCTAATTACCATATTCATGCTTTGTATGCAAAGAACACCTCCTTAGATTTACGCAAAGAATAGTTAAATATGAACTGCATTTGCCACCTTGTCTTACGATTAGTGTACTGTCTTTTATCTTGATAATAATCATTCGACTATAAGAAACGAAGGATACATAGAGAGATCCATAAAAAGGAGAATGTAAATAAGTGCCCAATGTGGAATGTCAGTAGTAAATGTGAGAAGAGAAAAGGAGAGGGAGAGAAGCATAAGGTAATTTCGAGGGGGGTGAGAAAAGAAATCAATACTAAAAGAAATATGAAAGAATATTCAAATTATGAGGTTTCTTTTTTTTTTTAAGATTTTATTTATTTATTTGACACAGAGAGAGAGACAGCTAGAGAGGGAACACAAACTGGGGGAGCAGGAGAGGGAGAAGCAGGCTCCTGGCTGAGCAGGGAGCCCAAGGCAGGGCTCAATCCCAGGACCCTGGGATCATGATCTGAGTTGAAGGCAGACGCTTAACGACTGAGCCACCCAGGCACCCCTCAAATTATGAGCTTTCTTACTTAAGAATACTTCTACTGTTCAGGCTAGTATTGATGATATTGGGCCTTAAGTGACACAGGACTCGTGACCCTGATCTGATGACAATCTTGCAGTCTTGTTTTCCCTGACTTAAAAAAGACACATTTGGAAAATGTGCAAAAAGCATACATCCATATATTCATAAACCTGTGTTTTCCTTGGCTCAGATATCTTGGGTAAATTGGAGAAGTTATAGACCTGTATGTAACTAAACAACAGAATACAATGTGGAAAAATGCAATGACTGTTAGGTCCCAAATACATACCTTTCGGGTCTCATAGGCATGTTCTTTCAAATATCAGCAACCCATTGAAGGTATTGGCTCTGACTTTACTAAAACCAAAATTCATGGCAGGAAACAAGTACAAATGTTTCTACTCGAAAGAACTGTAAGCTCCATCCCTTGAACTAAACTACTTACATACAGCAGCCCCAAAATCTTATGTTTTCCCACCACAAGACTGTCACGTGGTGGGAAAACATCTTGAACTCCCCAGGAGAGATTATGCAAGAAGATTTTGAGCAGAGGCAGTATATCGCAACAGTCATGTGCCCGGGCTCCGAAGCCACACCACCAGGCTGGGGTCCTGACTTTGCCACTCTTTGGATCCACTGATGTCGGGTAAATCACTGCATCTCCCTTCCCTGGACCTCAGTTTCTGTATCTGTAAAATGGGGTTAATAGTAACTACTTCAGGGGTTGTTGGGAAGAGTACAGTTGATCCTTGAAGAACACAGGGGTTGGGGTGCCCAGTCCCCAGCCTCCTGCGCAGTCAAAACTCCATGTATAACTTTTTTTTTTAAGATTTTGTTTATTTGACAGATAGAAACATAGCGAGAGAGGGAACACAAGCAGGGGGAGTGGGAGAGGGAGAAGCAGGCTTCTCGCCAAGCCGGGAGCCCGATGTGGGGCTCGATCCCAGGACCCCGGGACCATGACCTGAGCTGAAGGCAGATGCTTAACGACTGAGCCACCCAGGCGCCCCTCCATGTATAACTTTTGACTCCCCAAAAACTTAACTACTAATAGCCTACCACTGACCAGAAGCATTAGCGACAAAAGTCAATTAACACGTTTTGTATGTTATTATATTACGATATGTATTCTTACAATAAAGTCAGCTAGAAAAAGAAGATGTTATTAAGAATCATAAGGGAAAGGGGCGCTTGGGTGGCTCAGTCAGTTAAGCGTCTGCCTTCGGCTCAGGTCATGATCCCAGGGTCCTGGGATCGAGCCCTGCATCGGGCTCCCTGCTCCACAGGAAGCCTGCTTCTCCCTCTCCCACTCCCCCTGCTTGTGTTCCTTCTCTCACTGTATCATTCTCTGTCAAATAAATAAATAAAACCATAAAAATAAAAAGAATCATAAGGGAAAAAAATCATAAGGAAAATGCATTTACAGCACTGTACCGTATTTATCCAAAAAATCCATGTATAAGTGAACTCATGCATTTCAAACCCATGTTGTTCAAGAGTCAACTGCAACTGAGTCATTACAGGTAAAGTACTTAGAAAAGTGCTACAGTCTATGGTTTATAACTGCAGCCTAATAATATTAGTTATTACTATTATTATTATTATTCCATGCCCTCTCTCCGCATGCCATTCCCCCTGTATCTCCACATATTCACCAACCAAGAAGATCCTCCCCTCTTTACAAATCAGAAAATGGAAGCTCAGAGAGACTGAGTAATGCACTCCACGTCCCACAGCCAGCCCTGGTCGAACCAGACTTTGGATCCAGCACATGTATTAATCACTGTTTTCACAGCCTCCCAAGTCAGCAGTTCAAAAATACACAACATAGACCCATTCCTTTGTTTGTTCATTCACTCCTTCATTCACTAAGAGCTTACAGCATGCCAGGCACTGGACCTGGTGTTGGGGATCTAGACATGAACTAGGCAGATCAGAAGGGAACTGCCTTCAGGGGTGCCTGCCTGCCTCAGTCGGTAGAGCATGTGACCCTTGATCTCAGGGTCATGAGTTCAAACCCCATGATAAAGATTACTTAAAAATAAAATCTTAAAAAAAAAAAAAAAAAAAAGAAGGGAACTGCCTTCATAAAGCTTGTATGCTTCTTAGGGAAACAGATAAGCAAACAAAAATAAACCCATCATGTCCTATCAGATGATGGTAAGTGCTATAAAGAAAATAAGAACAAGTCAGAAGATGGAGTGTCAGGATCGAGGTGGGAGGCTTATTTTAGGTAGAAGAATCAGGGAATACTTCCCTGAGAAGGTGAGATAAAACCAATGAGGGGTGTTCTATGGCAAGATCCGGGGAAAAA